TCCATTTCCTAATATGTGCAATTGCACAACATACACATTGCGCACCTTTTCGTGAAATTCTTTGACTTTGTGCACATTTTCTTAAGATTTTTTTTGTTGAAAAGAAGAAACTATAAAAAGCTTAAATAGCGCCACGCTAAAGAAATCCATCCCATAGCCAAGGAAAACCGTTTTGATGCGCAATATGTGCGGTGTGTGCAGTGGCACATTTCAAGAAATGAATGGACTATAAACGGCGAAAAGTTGGCTTTTTTCCGAAAGAAAAGAGGAACTCGTTTGCTTAATCGTTTTTACCACCCAATGTCATTACAACACGGACAGCTGCTCATTTTCTTTTTCTTTCATCTTACTCACCTCAGCTGAAGTTTGATTTTTGGAGGCGTTGTTGGAAAGGCACGGGAAAGTGTGGGAGGCAAAAAACTCCCACAAAAAGTGGCCCAACATCTTTTTCAGTACTTTTTTTATCATCTCTTGAACAGTCATATGGTTGGTACTCAATGACATAAGGTGAAAAGTCCGAACTCGAACGGTATTTAAGAACTTTGAAAAAAATCGAAAGTGGATACGAAACATGCAGAGTAGAACGTAGGATAGAAAAAATTTGCAAGAAGTTCTATATAACCTTTTATAATATCTTTCATCATTTCTTGAGCGGTTCTCATTTTGTATTCGAAGACTTTGGGTAAACAGCGGTCAATCAACTTTCAGACCTTCCCGTCCCCCTCTTCTGGTTAATTGTTCAAATTTTTTAAGGACCGCTCAGACCAGTTCTTGTTTCCTTTCTCAAACTTCTTAGTTCACCATTTTGCTTGCCCAGAATAGCAAGTAAAATTTTGGTAGAAATCTACTCAAATTTAGCTAATCGCAGTGGTAGATCTATTCGGTACCAGTTTTGCTCTCAAGTTTGGGCGCAGTCCTCTTTTTTTCAAAAGTGGTTATTTAAAGTCACCCCAAGCAGGGAAATCAGAATCTCCATCTTGACTTTAAGTTTATCTTGCTATCGTTCAGATAATCGTTCACCCCCGACATTATCGCTCTGCCTGTAGATGTCACATCTGCCACAGCTGCTTTTCGAAAGGGGGTTCAGAGCGGGGGGTTAGAACCGGCTTTCGTTGTGCATTGCCTTGCGATGTGTTACAGTGTAAGGTGTCACACACATTCATACACACACATACACAACACTGCATGGAGATGATCCGCGACCTGGGGGCTGGTTATGCCGTGGGGGTCGCGTAAGGCGGTGGAGAAGGCGATGGTGGCGGTGGCGGAGGCGGTAGTAGTTCTCTATGGCAGTGTATCCAGTGTCGATGTCACAGTTCACTTGCTTCGAGACGGGACCAGTTCGCCATCCCGAAGAAGCGACGTGTGGAGGTACGGGGTGAAGATCATCCCCATTCAAGCAAGTTTTCCCCACTCACTCTCACGTCACTTGGCCGATGATCCCCTGTATGAAAAGCACTAGCCCCGCGCATAAGCACACGCAAGCTATTGCGCCATCGCACAAACCGCGCAAGAACCAGAATCTGTCTCGCGAGCGCTTCACTTTCTCCGTTGCGCTTACACTCTTACTGTCGTCGTTTATTTTCACTTGCACGTGAGATTCGCACTTGCGCGCGCGCATCTCGCACCGCGCTTCCGACAAGCATCGTTATCGCTCGCGTTTTCGTTCGTTCGTTCCATCTCATTAGCTCGTCTCGCTTTTACTTTTTGTCGCCTCTCTGAGAAGCCCTGGATCATCTGGTTATTGCTTATTGTCTCATTACTGGTAGCATGTGATGTGCAGTTGCACGAATAGTAGTAGTTTTTAAAGTAGTTTTAACACAAATGTTCGTTCAAGATCCCGAAAGGAACATTCGTGATAACAACTTTCTTTTTATGCCCGAAAAGAATAAAATAATAAAGTAAAAGAACAGATTGGAAGACAACATAATTATCATTCATATACTGAGACTAAAGGACTTAAATTAGTTTTACGCACTTGTCAAAGCAAGCTTGATCGTGTGAATGACAAGTTCATACTCGTGATATGTCTAATCTAGGATTAATTCCTGCTTGAAAACAGGAATGAACCAGTTCAAGCTTGTATAGGCAATGTGTACGAAGTAATAAGTGTTAACGCAACAATCCCACATTTCACGCATAATGTATATTGTGTGCGGTTGCACATGTCATATCATGAAAGGAGTCGACTATAGACTTCACATATTTGAGACTAAGTTTTTTTTTTCGCTTAGAAACTTGTTCTTTTGGAAGTCGCATTGCTACCGTGTATTTGACAAAAGGCTCGTTATCTGCGCCAGAAATCCATATCAATTGTTTTTTTTTATATTCCTGAATGATCTCATTCGCTCCATCTCATTTTTCCTCCTTTATGAACCTATTGTCTCCTACTTACCTTTGTAAACAAACGGTTACCTTCCATCACAGCACTGCATAATTTATATTCGGAACAATAGTTCGAACCCAGAATGCTGAAGCAGCCGTATCCCGAATGTGGACAAAGGCAAATGAAATGCGCAGTTGGGGTAAACAAAAGGGATTGTAACAAGGAAATACCTAGAACGAATCTGCTTCTTGATGTCTATTGTCACTTCCCGCGCCCTCACCTACCAAAAAATTGACGGACAGGTTCCTTTGCAACTTTTTCAGCGTGTCCCCGCCAATCAAATTTCTTACCAGTAATTCGATGTGAATTGTTTCCTTTATTGAGTTCAACTGGATTAGTAACTGGATTAGCGATGTAGACGAAGCAAAAGCATGCGGAGCGGTTCGATGCCTTTGAGTCGCAAAGAGATAATGTGAGTAGGAGGTACGCAGACAAAGCAGACCGCACCGTCACGGTAGCGCTGTACGCCTTTTTTCATTTTCTAATCGGTTTTCTAGGGAAAAATTTACTACCGTCGCAGAAATGTAAAAGGTTTATTTTGATCATTATTATATTAACCTCTTCCTACTTTGATCTCTTTTTTTTTCTTATGTATCTGTTTTTTGACTCGATGTTGCACTTGCCACCCCAGACAGCTAAAATTTGTCTCTAAAATATTTGCGAGCGATGCTGGTTTATGGGATCATGTGTTGCTATCGTCCGTTGATGTTATTTTTGGAACAGTTGGAAACAAATTGTCCTCTAAATTTATAATTCGCGTGCTTCGGAGCAGTACGCACGCATTTGTTTTGAACATGAGATCTCTGTACCTGAAAGAAAGGTTCTGGGTATTTTTATCACAGAACCTGGTATCCTTGGCTCTTTCAACGAAAGCCTGCTTACTGTAATACGTGCAAGATGTGAATTTACGCGACTATTGCTTTGGCCGGCGCACCTTCCCATTTCCTAGTTTTATCGTGTCTATAACATTTCTTAGTATTCCTGTGTCATTCGATTGTTGCACATGCTTACGAAAGCAGGGGGCGAAACAGCTGTCCATGTGTCTAGCACGGAAAATCTTAGGGTAATCGACTTGGGTGAGAATGGCGAGAATTTGCACGGGAATGACAGGGGAGAGGTGGGGGAGGAGGGAGATTTCGTCCGCAAATATCCGTCTATTTCAAGCATGGCACTCTTCCCTTACCTAATTTTTTTTTCAGTTTTATTGGTGAGCTCCAATTTAGGAGCGTAATTTTTTTCCTTTATCAGAAATATGGGTACACCAAAAAGTCCAGCCGCTTCGCTTAGCAAATAGCCACTCAGACCTCCACAGAAGGACGCTGCGATTGGTCATATAGAAAGGGGCGTGGCGCGTTATCCTCTAGTGCTTATAAGCCACGGTTCTTCCATTCTCGAGTACGCAAGAAATACCTTAACAGTTTTTGTCCGTCTTAAATACCCGATGCATTATATCCTGGTCCATATTATCGTCTTCTCATTCAGGAAAAAAATGTATAAAACTACTATTTGGCCACGCCCCCAATGCTCATACGCCTATTTAGTGCATTGTTCGTAGATCTGGTACGGTACCAAATTGTGGGCGTCTTCGAGTCTGTCTCTTTTTTCTTGTGGAACTAGGTTGGACTCACCGTTCCTCATTTCTTGATGCTTTACATGTTTATTTATTGTGATTACTCTAAGCTTAAATCGCCAGTTTTTGGAGATAAGAAAGTGTTTGTTTTGCGCGATTTTGAAATACCTGTCTTCTATGAAATAGCTAGTTTCGATTTCAATCTGAAACATATGTTTACTCGAGTGTTTCTTTTGCGGCCAATTTTTGTTTATAACTTCACTATGTGAAAACATCATACTAAATCCCCTGTAACCAGCTGGGCTGCCTCTTTTTCTCCTCACGACAAGAATCTGCAATTGAGAATCATGCTGATCCTGCGTCAGATTTTTCGCAGATACATCATGTTCTTTGATTTCTAAATTCTATTTTCAGAAAGATTTAGGATAAGATTGATTTGGCATTCATCTTTGCCTTCTTGATATTTTCTAAAATTTTCTGGGTGAGCTCAAGTTTATTCCCATCTTCAATCCCTATGCAGCGTTTATTCCCAAAGTACATATAACACATCATTTTGTTTTTGCTGCCACATCTATTATAGTCTAATCGGCAGTTCATACCTTCGCACTTCATAAATCTGCATTCTATTCTGTGCAGTTTTTGATTACCGTGTATCCATCAGGTACTGCACCGATTCTCTTCCTCTCGCAATAATTGATTTAATACAGCGGGCTGGTTCTTCCGGTACATCTTGCATCTAGTTTTTGATACTTGTTAGATCTCTCTCATTGAAGAAGTGTAATACTTTTCTGGTTCAATGAGAATGCGATTTTATTCTGTCATTGGTGCCGCTGTTTCTTTGTTTTTGTTTCGCACTAAAGGGTTAACGGTCAGGATTCGTTTTTGTCCCACCTTTACGATTGACATTTCTTGATTTGAGTGTTCGATAAGAGTTTCTTGTTCGTTACAGCATTTTCCAGTTCTTCTCAGCGTTCGTTCGCGTTTCTTCATCATCTCGTCGATCATTAGAAAGTGTATGACAAATGCGTTCAACCCTCTATTCAGGTAGCAATTCGCAAACATCAAGTTTTTTCCGTGCCACAAGCTGCATCACTTCACTTCCCACACAGCTGACTGGTAAGCCGATTCACATCTTAAACATCTTACCTCGTTATTCTGGCCCCGTCGGCCCGGTCGCTTATCTCTCCCCCGCGCTTCCCTTACACTTCACGTTTTGCTGTGTGTTTGTGTGTATGTTGTGTGTGTGCATCTCTCACATTTGTGTGCTTACATCGAAAAGTGGCGCAAGTTTATCTGATGCATATCTAGTTGAGCTGCTTGGATAGCACCTCACTTTCTTGTTGCGAACACGCTTCCGGCTAGCCCTAGCCGAACATGAAAACAAGAGCAAGTTCAATAAAACCGCGAGGCCCCCCGCGCCCTGCCTGTGTGCCTGTGTGACAACTCTGTCTGCTCTCATAGTTTTATGCTCTAGAGAAGATGCTTGACTCGTTGGGAGGCAAGCAGCAACAGAGTTCGCCCTGGTTCGATAGTCTCTCCACATCGTCGACTACAATGAACAGTAACTCGTCGGTGTCGTCCGGATCACCACCGAGTCTCTCGTCTCATCTCAGAGACAACTCAGACGTACTTTCACGTCCCACATGGCTCTTCAATAGTCAGGTTGGTTCAGGTTTTTTACGTAATACGTCGACTCGTTGGGAAAATTCTTAGCAACTTTTCGATTTTTAAATCCTATATTTTTTTGACTTGCTGTCTGTTCACTTCATCACTTGGCCATTGTGCTTTTATGTGGTTCGACTTTGATTTTCATGCACTTAGTGCTTGTCTCTAAAGCCGATATTACATCCATTCAGCCTTCAATGCGCTCTTTTCTATAGGCGTAAAATAACTGAGAGTACCATAGCTTATAGCACCAAACTCTCGCTAAATTTCAACATAATCTAAATACATTGTTGTTTTGTTCAACTATGTCCGCACTTACAAACTTTTATCATTTATGATTATAATTTTATTCTCTCTGACGAAGGCTGGAAGTCCAGACATAAGCCTGCGAAAGGTTTCAATGATCTCCTTTGGCTGGTAGGGAAGCAGAGTAATGAAGCTTTTTTTGACCGGAGCCCACTGCTATTCTTTTTTGCCTTAAATTTTGTCGTAGAGTAATGCGGGGAAAAGGAAGGTCTTTGCAACCAAGAACATTCCCTAAATCAATTATAGGGTGGGTAAAATTCCCATGAGATGCTGAAGAACAACATTAACCTAATCTGTGTAAATCAAAATTGTGTGCCAGCAATCTAGGGCCTTTCTCCTTTTTTTCGTTTTTAAGCTGTAGGTACAAAGTAAATACAGTAATTAATGTGTTGCTGTAGATGTCTGCACGTATTCTAGGACCCGTTTCACTATCTGCGACTGTAGAGTGAATTTTCTTGTAGTAACTGTGTTGTCATGATTTAGGTCATGGCCCATCAAACTCACAAAACCCATCTTTCTTCCAGTCATCTGTCGTTCTAGTGTGTTAATGCCTATTGAGAACTATTAAGATCTCATCATTGACGTGTGACCTCTTCCAGCGGCAGTGCTTTGCGCCTATTTCAATTAATGAGCGTGAGTAGATGAGCTTCTCTGCTTCTGCGCAAAGACTTTCAATTACTCTGCTCTCTGGTCGCACTCCCTATCTCCAGTCCAGCCAGTTAGTTAAGTAGAATACCCAATTATGGACATCATGACATGTGCACTCGGCTGCGCGCTATACTTTTCTCACTGACACATATTATTATCTGTAAATAATAGGAGTACTGTGTTTGCGTACCGTAATTATGATAGATTGATCTGTCAAGTTTGACAAATTGCATATTTAACTAGTTCTTTTTTTTGTAAATTGCTTCTAGGTTGCATCTCAAAGGGTCCCAACTTTTTTTTTCGAATATGGGGATGAGAGAGAGAGAGAGAGCGCGCGGACAGTTGCTTGCAGATTGTGAAATTGTTCATGCGATTGTGCAACATTTCGTAAAAAGCGTTTTGTAAGTCGGCTGGTAAACGTCTTCATCTATCTACGGTAGTTTCTATGGTCTCAATAACTTCCCAATCGCTTTCTATGGTGAAAAAATGGTTTCTGAAATTACTTTGGTTCTTTGAGTAACTTGAAAACTATAGTTTCTACCCATATTTGAGTAGTTTCGGTTTCGCTAACTATAGCACGATATCACCTATACTTCATTTGCTTTTAATAACGGCGGCTATTCATAGATCGAATTGTTCCACCTATATAATGAGCCATTGTCTCTTCAAAGTCATTCTTTGGTATCTTTTCGTTTTGCCCAATGTTACATTCATTTCAAGCTAGTTTTGTTCAATCACTTGTGCCAACGTTCTCAATGCTTTTTGTTTTCTCAACAGGCGAAAGAAAAAGTGTTTTGAAAACTGCTTTTCGCACGTGCCTAACTCAGCTATTCGTTTGTCAAGGAACAATATTTGCTTTAAAGTGTTTATCTACCCTTAATTTAAACACAGGAGGTAAAAAATGTTTTTCAATGATGTTTACTCGTATCTGGTAGGTTAGTATATGTGTACCCGTCACTATTGAGACAAGACAGCCCTCTGAAGTGAGTAATTATGCATGGCCGCTGAAACATATAGCTCCGGTCCTATTATGTTCCCATTGAGTCGCGTGACTCTGAAGTACTTTGGCGTCGTTGTTGGCGAAGAAGACGTAACCTTTTGGCGCAGTCACGCGGGTTCTCGTAATGGATACCCCCGGCGTAATTTCTTGGTACGAGATCGCATCAAAACAGATCATACTGTAATGGCAATGTTTTCGTTTTTTTGGTGTTGGTGGTGGTGGTCCTCTCTTGAGTAAGCATGTTTTCGTTTTCGCCGACGGCACCGATTTCACATAAGGGTTGTGTATTGGTGTCAAATTGCAAATTTCACGATGGTAAGTAGGGGTCGTATGATTGCTTTTCCCGTTCTTGGGTTCTGTAGTTGACGAGGTCCCAGATCTGGTAAACATACCGGTGTTGTTGAGTCTGGGTATGATTTCTTGTTTGAGGGACTGAGACATCTGATATGGGAGGGATGGGACGGGGTTATCCTTATAGGGAAGATAGCAAGGTGGAGACGGGAATTTGCCGGAGGGGGTGGGGGGGGGGGGGGGAAAGGTTGCCGAAGTCGTTTATGTCATTTAGCCATTTTTGAGTGTTGTAGTTGACCAGCTTCCACATTTGGCAAACATATCGGTGTTGTGTAGTCTGGGTATGATCTCTTCTTCCAGGAGAGACATCTGATATGGGAGGGATTACCCTTTTTTGGAGAAGCTATAAGTCCTATAATAACTTTTCTCCTTGTTCTTGGGTTCTGTGATTGTTCGCGAGGTCCCACATCTGGTAAACATACCGGTGTTGTTGAGTCTGTATATGATTTCTTCTCCCGTTGAGACATCTGATATGGGAGGGATTACCCTTTTCTAAAAGCCGTAGGTCCTATGATAGCTTTTCCCGTCGGAGCCGGTAGTTTTGGTCCCACATCCAGTAAACATACCGGTGTTGCTGAGTCTGGGTATGTCCTTCTAAGTAAGGACATTTGATATGGGAGAGATTACCCTTTTCTAAAGCAGTAGGTCATATGAAGCTTTGCTTCCCATTTCTCGAGTTCTGTGGTCGTTCACGAGGTCCATCTCGGATAAACATACCGTTGTTGTTGAGTCTGGATATGATTCTAGTATTGAGACATCTGATATGTGAGGGATTACCCTTTGCGAAAGCATTAGTTCCTGCCATGGGTTTCCTTCCCCTTTCTTGGGTTTTCTGGTCATTCACGTGATCCATCGTGATCCATCCATGCACTTACCGGTGTTGTTGAGCCTGGATATGATTCCAGGGTTCAGACATCTGATATGGGAGAAATTACCCTTCTGGAGGGGCAGTATGCCCTGTGATAGTTTTCCGCCTTGTTCTTGGGTTCTGTGGTCGTTCATTAGGTCCATCTGAGATAAACGTACCGGTGTTGTTGAATCTGGGTATGATTATTCCAGGATTCAGAAATATGATATGAGGGACGTGGAGATGGGGATTACCCTTTTGGAAAAAGAGATCCCAAGAAGGAGGCAACGAACTTATTCGGTGGGGCTGAATTCTTGTTCGGCGAATCTCTTCGAGAATTTTCTGAGTCATAAACTCACATCCAAGTTTATTGACCATTACTGGACCATTGGTGGCAACATATATCTCGATCTATCTCACCCTCATAACCCTAAACACACAATGGTACGAGTTTCTTCTTTCTCTCCCCCCCCCCTCATAAAAAGGACTGGTTTCTGTAAACCATGACAGAAAAGATGACTGGTTTTCGCCAGTGAAATGCCACAGTTCACATCGTTCGATTGAGATCGTCTCTGAACTGTCAGGGCTGTTGGTTTTTATAGAAGTTGATCGATCATCTTTTGTACAGAGGCATCCAGTTGTTTACTGGATTTTAGAGTCATTCGTCTTGGGTTTAATGATTTCTGGTTTCACCATTTTTATGCTACCGGACGGGTATAGAATAGAAGTCCAAAAATGCCAGTAAGGGATTGGCCTGTCAAAACATAGTTGTTGGCTAGCATGGCTTGTATTTTCGAGTAAAACGCAAGAAATCGGTTTAAAATATGACAATTTCGCCGTAACTTTCTCTCGCCCAGAACTACATTTTTTTGAAAAAAAAAAGATACTGGCTTAATACAATTCTGAGAACATTGATTTTCTCGCCTCTTTGAATCAATGATTTAAGTTTCCCTTCACTTGCAAAAAGCGCACTACAGAGTCCTTGCACTGACTCGCTACAAGTACCCACTCAACAAATCGAACCTTTTGAGTTTTTGCTTGCTTGCTGAGGTACCAAGACCGTTCTCTACTTTCTGTTTGGGCTCAAAAGTTTCTTGCACCATTTTCTGAGAATGGACTTGTTTAGCGTTGTCTTTAGGAAAGAGGAAGGTTGTACCTGAGAACTGCATTTTTGACTTTCTTTTAGGCACAGTTTACCTTGCTTGAAGCTGAAGAAGTATTAGGTTGGAAAGAGGATAAAAGCAAGCCCTATCAATGTTCTCAGTGAAAATTAAAGCGAAAATTCTAAAGCATAGGTTTTTGCCCTAACCCAGATCTCCAGATTCTATAAACGTTATGAAACCTCCACATGCTCCAGTTTATAGCAAACACATACATATTTACACACAGTTTAGATGGAATTTGAGCTTAAACAACAAGAAAAGAGGTCTTTGAAAAGTGGCAAACTACGCCCCTTCTGTGGTCGGATGTCTCTAATAAGGTTACCAGATCTCGAAAAAACTATTGGACGGATTTGATCCTTGGCATGAACCCCGTGAAAAGCACGAAATGTTTGAAAAGAGTAAAGCCGCCCATGTAAGTGACCTTCTGTTACTAAAGTCATTGTCTGGCGCTACTGGGGAGGGGGGAGGGGAGAAGAGAATAGGATTAGTTTTGCTCTTTGGTTACAAAGCACTTAAACACTCTATCAAGCTCTTCTCCTTTTTAGGATGCAGCTTTTCGCTTTTATATCGGCTAACTGGAATTGTTTTTCCGCATTTTACTTAATTAACAAGGAATTGGATCAAGAAGGACTAGAGGTGTTTTTCTTTAGATGAAATCTAAAGAAAAACACCTCTAGCCTTT